CCACACCCTGGCCCCGCCCCCGGAGGCTCCTCCCCCCAGAGTCCCCTCCCCCAGCCTTCCAGACCCACAGGTAAGCACATCGCGGGTCCAGCCACTCAGCTGCCTCCACTCTCCCCTGGGCGGTGGGAGTGATCCCGGGGGCCGCTGTCTCTGTCCTAGCCGCAGGTCGCCTGGCCTGGCCCACTTCTACTCCCCGGCTTGCCTTTAGCTACATTTTCACGTGGTGCTGCTTTCTGCAATGAAATCGGAGAGCGACTGAGGTGCCCGCGACATCCGTTTGACAGGGGAGGGCCTGGACCGTTCGCTGCGTGAGCCAGAGCTCCTAGAGGACCTGCGTGGGGCTGAGGAGACGTCTGAGCCCAGCGGGCCTACGCTGCTGGCTTGTCAGTCCCCCTCGCGGTGGAAATCCGTGCTCGAGGGGAATACGAGAAGCCCCGGCCTGCCCCGCCGCAGGGTCCAGGAAGCCCGAACATTGGGCGCCTCCCCCTGGCAGCTAAACTGGCCTCCCTTGGGGTGGACCCAATCCTACCTCACACACACGTCTTAGCAGGAGTGCGACACAATAAACATCCAACAAGCTTCCCCCATTATAGGTTAGAATATGGAAGGAGCAGGAGTTTAGTGCCCAATTCGCCCCACCACCACCACCACCACCACGACCAATAGGGATGCGAAGATAGCAGATGGTCCTTTCTCTGGGAATGCAGACACTTGAACAGGGCCTCCCTTTCAACCATGCATCTCGAAGTGGAACATTCTGGTAAGACCATCATTAAATGCAGGCTCATGACCTCGGCACGCAGGAGAAACTAACTTCAGCTACACTGTGTGATTCTCTTCTATGGTTGGGAAATTGAGCCGCATTTGGCAGATGGAGCAACGAAGGCTCAGAAAGATTTAGGTTCTCACCCAAGGCCAGCCTAGGTGGTAAGTGGTGCAGCTGGTGCTTTCCTCTAGCATTAGAAGGTCATTTAATGAGACCACGATCCTCACCCCTACCCCGACCAGGGATGTAGAGTTTGTATCATGGTTCTTACCTCCTGCCTTGATCTTTCCACCCTAGCTGAAGGGCAGTAAGTGGCCTCTACGAAAGGTGTGGGGAAAAGAACCCAAGAGCAAGAAAAGAATAAACTGCTATTTGGTCCCACTTTTAACTCTCCTCCTTTACCCAGGGGAATAGAGGGGTGTGCACACCCACACACCCAAACTCAAACGCACATGACTGTCCACGGTTTTCCAAAGGACCATCACCTATCCCTTTGGGGTCATTCTGCCTGCCTACAGCATCTCCTTCCTGCCTTAAAAGGAAATCCTTATAATATCTCCACCACTCTCCCATCATCCTCTCTTTGGAATCGCAAGCAATTACCTTTCTTTCCTTCCTTCTGCCTGTCCTACCTCTAACACATTGTTACCATTTTATTAAAGCAAAAAGAAAAACAAAACAAAAGATAATCCCGTTTTAACCCAGTTTAAAGTTTCCTGTTTCCCTATCACCAAAGGCAAAAGTTCGAGCCTTACTCCTTAGCATGGCCAGCAGGTCTCCTGCACCCACCCCTTCCCCATCTGTCCCTTCCAACTGTGGTGGCACTGAAGTGGACCATAGTTTCCTGCACATACTACCCTCTTTGTCCTCCAGCCTTTGCTCACATTGTCGCCTCAAAAATTCTTCCCTGTCACCCTTAATTCCTACTTTCCTACTTGTGTAAGGCATCAACTCTCCCAGGAAATCTTTGCAAACACCACCCCTTGTGTGTTCACACCCAGTACCCTTGCCCACCCCTTCAAGCTCCCAGAACATCCTGGACATCGCTGAGTCCTTGTACTTACCACATGGCTTTCATGACCTATTGACATGTCTTAGTTCTTAACCGCAAGTGTCAAGCAGAGGACTGACCTAAAATCAGTACTGTTACAGGGTTGTTTGGGAACCTGAGGAAGCAACTATTCTAAAGGGACGCGGGATCAGAAAGTGGGGAAACGAAGGCCAATGAGGACAATTCATGCTGGGGCTCAAAGGGGATGATGCTCCTCCATCTGACAGAGGACGATGGTCAAGGCTGTTTCTGGGCCTTGAGTAAAGAGAGCAACTCAGTTCTTTCCTGGAGATGGCTGGACTCCAGTTGGCCAGACACAGATCCCCTGGCCTATACATTGACAGGGCTCTCTAGAGACAACCCACAGTGAAAGGCCCTAGAATAATGCTTAAAATAATGCTCACCTGAGGCCTGTCAAATATCTCCTTCCCCTCAAACAGTAACAGGCACATTCTGGAGCCAGTGGTCAGAAGGAATCATAGTTTCTACCACGGTTTTTCAGAAGCGGGAAGAAACATAAAATCCAGGGCATCCAGGCAAGTTAGGCATCTTGCCTCCACAATAGCTGGGACTTAGGAAACCAGAACTTTAGTAGGCCTGCACTAGGTGGTTGGGCAGGGGGGACACTGGTACATAGTGAGGGCAGTGATAAGATTGTGCAGTCAGATGCCAACATGGGTGATCCAGGGCAGAAAAGAGAGACAGCAGGCAGGTGATTTCCTTGAGTTAGAAAGGATCATTCTTCACGGACACCTAAAAGAGGGTTCATCCCTCCAATCCTGCTACTCCTATAGCAAATGAGGAGTATGTATGCACCCCTAAACTAATGCAGGTATGTAATTCTCCCCACCAGCCCACCCCCAGGATTTGCCCATGCTTTCTTATTCACTAGCTACTCTACCTTTTCCTCCTCCATTAAGAACCCAAAACTACAAAGTAGGATCAGGGGTTTCCCCTCTCACTTCATCAGGATGCCCATCTTCTTTAACCACAGAAAAGCCAATACAGGAGAACAGTAAAGAGAGACAGGAGACAGAAGCCCTGACACAGGTTTTTCAGTATGCAAGAGTTTTTGACTCTACAGCCAGTTGCTTAAAATGAAACATAAAAGGCAGCCAGAATACACACCCAAATGCAAAAAAGTAAAGGCAAACATAAAACAAACCACAAAATACCATGAACCCCAACAAAACCAAAAAATCCCAAAACCC